TTCTATGTGATGTAAGTGTGGCAATTCCTGGTTGGTTTTGGTTTCTATTCGTGTGGAATTTCTTTTTCTATCCCTTCACTAATAGTCTCTGTATGTTTTTATTGGTGAAGTGAGTTTCTTGCAGGTAGCACATAGTTGGGTCTAGTTTTTTAATCCATTCAGTCTATCTTTTAAGTGGGGAATTTAATCCATTTACATTCAGGGTTGTTATTGAAAGGTATTGCGTTATTCTATTTCTGCCATTTTACTACTTTCTTTATGGTTGTTTTGTATTTCTTTTGTTCCTTTTTTCCCTTTTATTGTTTATCTTTGCTGTTTGATGTTTTGTTGTAGTGATAAGATACATTTCCTTTCTTGTTCTCATTTTCGTATCTGTTTTATTAGCAGTTTTTATTCTTTCTTGTGGATTTATGGTGATATATTTTGCTCTCTTGATTCCAGATGCAGGATTCCCTTGAGGATTTGTTGAAGGGTTGGTCTTGTAGTGGTGAATTCCCATAGTTTTTGTTTGTCTCGGAAATATACTATTTCTTCTTCATTTCTGAAGGAAGACTTTGCTGGAGATAGTATTCTTGGTTGGCATCTTTTTCTTTTAGAATTTTGAACATGTCATCCCACTCTCTCCTGGCCTGTTGGTTTTCTGTTGAGAAGTCTGCTGTTAGCCTGATGGGGATTCCCTTATAGGTGATTTGATGCTTTTTTCTTGCTGTTTTTAGTATTATTTTTTTGTCTTTGACTTTTGAAAATTTGACTATAATGTGTCTCCATAAGGTCCTTTTTGGATTTAATCTGTTTGGGGATCTTTCATCTTCTTGGATCTGTAAGACCCTATCTCTCCCAATATTTGGGAAATTTTCAGCTATTGTTTCATTAAACAGGTTTTCAATGCCTTTTCCTTTTTCTCCCCCTTCTGGTACACCCATAATACAGATGTTTGCATGCCTAAGGTTGTCAGAAAAATCTGTGTGCTGATGAGAATGTACATTCTGCAATTGTTGGATAAAATGTCCTATAAATGTCTGTTAAGTCCATTTGTATTATAGTGCAGTTTAAATCCTATGTTTCTTTGTTGATTTTTCTGTCTAGCTGATTTGTCAAATGGTGAAAGAGGGGTGTTGAAGCTCCTAAATATTATCATATTGGGTTTATCACTCCATTTAGATGCAATATTTGCTTTATATATCTGGGTGTACTGATGTTGGTTGCATGTGTATTCATAACTGTTGTATCCTCTTGCTGAATTGATCCCTTTATCATTATATCATGTCCTTCTTTGTCTTTTTTTAAAATAGTTTTTGGTTTAAAGTCAATTTTATCCAATATATGTATAGCAACTCCTGTTCATTTTTAGTTTCCATTTGTGTGGAATATATTTTTACATCCCTTTACTATTAGTCTATGTGTGTTTTTACAGGTGAAGTGAGTTTCTTGCAGGCAGCATATAATTGGGTCTTTTTAAAAAAAATTTATTCATCCAGCCTGTATCTTTTGAATAGGGCTTTTAATCCATTTACATTCAAGATTGTTATTGAAAGGTATTGCCTTACTCTTGACATTTTATTAATTTTTAATGATTTTTTTTTATATATCTTTGGTTTCTTTCTCTTTTATTGTTTGTCATTGCTGTTTGATGGTTTTGGGTAGGGATAACATATACATTCTTTCTCCTTCTTATTTGCATATCTTCTCTTCCAGTGAATTTTACTCCTTTGTGTGTTATCTTTTTTTTTTTTTGTCTTTTGTCTTTTTTCCATGTCCGGCAACGGATCGCAACCCTCAGTGTTGCCCCCGTACCGGACCGGGGACCGGCAACGGGATCGCAAGCCTCGGTGTTGCTCCCGCGCCTCGCTCAGCCAGTGAGCGGGAGCCGGTCTGTATGTGGGATCCGAACCCTCGGAGGACCGGCAACGGGATCGCAAGCCTCGGTGTTGCTCCCGCGCCTCGCTCAGCCAGTGAGCGGGAGCCGGTCTGTATGTGGGATCCGAACCCTCGGAGGACCGGCAACGGGATCGCAAGCCTCGGTGTTGCTCCCGCGCCTCGCTCAGCCAGTGAGCGGGAGCCGGTCTGTATGTGGGATCCGAACCCTCGGACGGGAGCGCCGCCACGCTTCCCAAGCGGCGCACTATCCAGTGCGCCACCGGGCCGGCCCCCTTTGTGTGTTATCTTGATGGTAGCTATCATTCTTTTGCTTCCAGATTAGGACTCCCTTAAGGATTTCTTGTAGGGTTAGTATTGTGGTGGTGAATTACTTCAGTTTTTGTTGGTCTGGGGAATACACTATTTCTCCTTCATTTTTAAAGGATAGCTTTGCTTGTAATAGTTTCTTGGCTGGCAGTTTTTTTCTTTCAGCACTTTGAATGTCATTCCACTCTCTCCTAGCCTGTAAGGTTTTTAGTGAGAAATCTGCAATTAGTCTGATGGGGATTCCTTTACAGGTGACTTGACACTTTTTTCTTGCTGTTTTTAGAATTTTCTCTTTGTCTTTGACTTTTGAAAATTTGAATAAGATATGTTCCTGAGAGGACTTTTTTTGGACTAAATATGTTTGAGGATATTGGAGCCTCTTGGATCTGGAAGTCCATATCTCTCTCAATACTTGGGAATTTTTCAGCTATTAATTTGTTAAATAGGTTTGATGCCTTTTCCCTTCTTTTCCTTTTCTGGAACAACCATAACACTGATGTTTGTATGCTTAAAGTTGTCTGATAGATATTATAAGCTTTCTTCCTCATTTTATTCTTTTTCTTTTGTCTTACTGCATTGTTTCAAAAGAAAACCTATCTTTAAGATAAGAAATTCTTTCTTTTGCTTGCTTTAGCCTGTTGCTTAAGCTCTCAGTTGGATACTTTTGTTTCAGTTAATGAATACTTCAGTTTCAAGATTTCTGCTTGGTTCTTTTTTATGATATCTATCTCTGTCAAATTTCTCCTTCAGATCCTGAATTGTTTCACTTATTTTGTTGTGTCATCTATTTGTATTTTCCTGCATCTCATTGAGTTTCCTTAAGATTATTTTTTGGAATTCCTTTTCAGGAATATCATAGATTTTCTTTTCTTTGTTTTTTCATGGTTCTTTTATGGAACGGTCACTTCTAACACTATGGAGTAGCTTTTGAAGGGAGATACTCTCTCCTATTGATGTGTTCTGTAGTCAATCAGGTAGGGTGTTTCAGATTTGGCTTCAGTGAGCTCAGTAGTGTAATCTTTGTGTGATTTCTTTGACTGTATTTAATGTTGGAGTTGTTTGTGAGTGTCCCATGGCCTAGACATTGGGGCACTTGGCAGGTACTTGCTGAAGTGGCCAACACTGGGCTGGGTGATGGGTTGTAGACAAGTCTTGAGCTCTTGGGAGAAGTATTGGGATGCTCTGAAGACAGCTGGAGTGGGTGATCCTGGGAAGACTCACTGGTGCCCCAGCCAGGATCCCGTGCCCCCAGTAGAGGTACTGGGGTGCTCTGCAGCTCCTCAGCTTAAATAGGTGACCTTGAGCAGGATTGCTGGGGTGCATTCAGGACCCCATATACTCACAGGATAAATTGAGGTGCTCTCTATCTTCACTGTTGAAGTGAGGTGCTCTATATGAGCTTTCTGGGGTCATGGGCAGGGCCCTGCACCCTCAAGAAAGGTACTGAATCATTCTGTAGCACCACTGTTGGAGTGAGCCACACTAGGTGAGGTTGTTGTGATTGCGGGTATACCCTGTTGCCCCAAAGGAATGCTGAGTCACTCCTCAGTTCCTCAGCTGGATTGGGCCATTCTGGAGAAGGTTGTTCAGGTTGTGGGTAGGACCCTGCAGCCCCAGGAGAAATGCTGAGGTGCTCTGCAGCTGCTCAGCTAGAATAGACCACTTTAGGTGAGGCTGCTGTGGCTGTGGGTGGGCCCCTGAGCCCCCAAGAGAGATGTTGCATCATTCTCCAGCTCTTCAGGTGATGTGAACCACTCTGGGCGAGGTTGCTGGGGCTGTGGTTGGGTCCCCATGGCCTCCCCCGAAGAGACAGTGGGTCACTCTGCAGCTCTTCAGCTGGAGTGGGCTGCCCTGCATCAGATCACTGGCATTGTGGGTGGGCCTCTTTGCCCCAAGAGAGATGCCAGGTCACTCTGCATCTCTGCAGCTGGGACAATGGGTCCTGGGTGGGATCACTGGAGCTGCAGGTGGGGCTCTCTGCCCTAGAGAGAGGCTTGTGGGAATTCCAGTTTCCTAGATGGAGTGTGTGGCTCTGGGCTGGTTTTCTGGAGATGCAGCAGGACTCTATGCCTCTGAAAGAGGTGCATGGGTGCTCCACTGAAGAGAGCAGGGCTGCCAGCAGTGGCAGAAGGCCCCAATTGGTTGGCTGTCTGGCTCCAGAAAGTGCACACACCCTCTCCCTCTGTCCTGGGTGGCCTCCACACTGTGCTGGACCACCTGTTCCCAAGGCACAGGGCACTGTGTGGACTCAAGTGCCAGAGTCCTGGTGTGATGAAGAAGCCTTAGGGCTATGGAGGTGCTGGGGCTATTGGGCTTCAGGGTAAGATGCACTCAGATTTTGGCTCCAATCCCCAAATGGCAACATGCTGTGCAATCCCGGGACCTTGGGTGTGGGGGGACTCAGTGTGCACTCCCTCCCTGGACTAATGTAGTCACATGGGCTCCCAGCAGCTCCCCATACTGGGCTCATGGCTGCAAGGGCCATGCAGCTCCCTTGCAGCTTTGGTGTAATTCTTACTTACCTTTTCCCTACAGGCAGAAGTTCCTCCTGGTTCCATCATATATGTCTTGACATTTTTATTGCATATATTGCATCTTAATTTCTAAGGACAAAGGAGATGTTTACTGTTTAATGAAGTCTAAGTAGTATTATCTAATGCTGTCAAAAGTAATTACTTTAAGGTATAATTAAAACCAAACAAAAATTATCAGATGCAGACACCTGTTCATATTATAAACATGACAGAATAGTAAATCATTTAACTTTTTGGAAATAGCTTTAACTATATACAGTTATCTAATAAATTTTTCTTCAGATATGCTATTCCGGATACAAAAGATGTTCTACTATAGCAAGCTAACAATTTTCCTGACAAAATGGAGGGACAAAGCAAGATGTCAGAATAAAAAGAGAGAATATGAGCTGGTATGGTAAATTAGAAACAACTTTTTAAGAATCTGAATTTCCCAGTTATATTTGTTATACCTCAGATAATAATGCTATGTGTAGAAAATACTAAAATCCTGAATATTATGTAGTTTTTGATGGGGTCCTTGTTCTTTTCACTTAATAATTTAAATTTCACCTCAGCTATCTCAAATGTTTCCTAATAATTTCTATTTCATTTGAACTAAGAACATAAAAAAAATCTTTTAACATTTTGTTTAAATTTATTGATAAAGAAACTAAAAATTTTGTTCAAACAAATATTTAGATGGCTAGGTAGAGATCTAAATAGAAAAAGATGATAAAGACTGAATAGGTTTGTTTTTTGAGATAAGTTTAAATTGCTATTTATTTATTCTTTTTTTAACATTTAGTAAGTTACAATTTCAATATTAAATGAAGTTTTAAATCACTAAATTGCTAAACGTAAAGAATTATTCCTAAAAATACTCTAGTTTGCTTAAATTATTTCTATATTGTTATTTAATATTGTTTTAGAATGTTCAGAGTCACTTCATACTACCATCAGACATAGAAACATGCTAGAAAGTTTTTGTAGTTACATTATTTAATAGGCAACATTTTATTAGTATTTTTTGAGATACAAAGTTGAGATAAACAGGAAAGAGAAACTTGGATGAAATTAAATTCTCCCCCTTTGTGGTTGCCACATGGAGGGCAGGGTCATTGTCCCCACTCACCCAAAATTGGTTCAGATGTTGAGACTGACAATGCCATACATGCAGCAAGGATATGAGAAGATTCATTACCCGCATAATACTTGAGACGGTGCTAGAGCCTGCACAGGATACTGAGACGCATAAGGCATAGTTCCTGCTTTCTAGAAGTCGATGATATACATGTACGGAACTGGTGTTCCTGGAGGCTGTCCTCCAGCCTTTGCTTTTTGCGGACTACCTTTTCAATGTTGCCAGCTAAACAGTTCTACTTTGGGTTCCACTGTTTTTGCCTGCTCTTTCAGTGCCTTCCAGCGCTTTGTGTACTACACTGGTGTTTCCATTACTGCCCTCTGTGCCTGATCACTGATTCTCTAGTGGTGAAATAGGTCATCGTACATGACCCTGGCCCCCTTAAGCTGAATGTCCCTGAGAGCAGGCATTATTCTCTTAATCTTCCCCATACACTGAGCATAATGTTTTCCATGTACTAGTTGATATATATTAATATATATAATGTATATTATATGTAACATAATATTATCCTTAATATATACATTTATTGTACTTAATTGGGTGTTTAGAGAAAATCTTTTCCTCTAGTTAAATGATCTCTTGGCCTGTCAATCATTCTGCATTCACTTGGTTGAAGTGCGGGTGGCAGGTGTGTGCTGGGAGTAGAGGCAGGGAAAACCTGGCGTGTGCTAGTTCTCCAAAGTGTGCTCATCCTTAGGCTCTAATATGTGTGCATGTGTACATATGTTACACCAAAATTGTGTGTGTGTATGATTGAAATACTTATTTATTCTTAGAGCTTTTTATTTATTACACAGTTTTCAGGAATGTATCAAAAGTTAAATCAGGCATGTCCCCAAATACTTTCCTTCTGACTCCTCTTTTTTTTGTTATCTCTGTGTTAAATGCATCCCTTCCATGCCCCAAATATCAGTTGTATCATCACCAGAAGCTTGAGTTTGTGGTCCTCAGCTTTCTTGTTTATAAAAGAGGAGACTAAACCAGATCTTCAGGGTGGCTGCCTGTGCCAATGTTTTATGAAAACAAATGGAATGATCTATAATGCTTTGGTGGTTCAGAGAATATTAAATGTGCATATGGGAGGGCCGGCCCGGTGGTGCACTGCTACAGTGCGCCGCTTGGGAGTGCGGTGGCGCTCCCGCCGAGGGTTCGGATCCCACATACAGACCGGTTCCCGCTCACTGGCTGAGCGAGGGGTGGGCGCAGCACCGAGGGTTGCGATCCTGTTGCCGGTCCTGGTCCGGTACGGGCGCGACACTGAGGGTTGCGGTCCGTTGCCGGACACGAAAAAAGACAAAAAGGGAAAAAAAAAATGTGCATATGGGAAATTACAATTTATATAACAATATTGATGATAATAATAAATAATGTTTAATTGGTGTTATCATTGTGTCAAACACTGTGCCTTTATATCTGTGATCTCAATTGACCCTTACAACAATTCCATGGAATTTGTAAATTATTTTAATTGCAGATGTTAAAACATGAACTTCAATGGAAAAAATGGAAAAATAAGTTAAAATTCAAAGCAGCTGCTGAAGACTATAGTTTATCTGAGGTTGCTCTACTAGGTGACACTCCAGAATGTGACATTTCACTGTTACCTGAAAAAGCAATATTACAGGTTTGTATAAATTCATTATACATTATATAATATAATCTTTCTCTTTATGTATAACATGGAGTTCAGGATAAGGATACTTTTGCCCATTATGTTGTATGTTTTAGAATTGTGATTCCTATAATTTTCTTACTGGTTTGTAATAGCTTTTTATGTACTGGCAATATTAGCCCTTTATCTGGAATATATTTGGAAATTTTTTTCCACCACTCTTAATGTTTGTGTTAAGTTTTGCCTGTGGAGTCTTTTTATGACAGAAAATTTAAAGCTTTATTAATAAAGTCTATCACTATTGCCTTAATTATTTATCTTTTTATGGCGTATTAATTTGTCATTCTTAGTAGTTTTTCTTTTTTTTGGTCTTTTTTTTTTTTTGTCTTTTTCCGTGTCCGGCAACGGATCGCAACCCTCAGTGTTGCCCCCGTACTGGACCGGGGACTGGCAACGGGATCGCAACCCTCGGCGTTGCTCCCGTGCCTCGCTCAGCCAGTGAGCGGGAACTGGTCTGTATGTGGGATCCGAACCCTCGGGCGGGAGCGCCGCCGCGCTTCCCAAGCGGCGCACTATCCAGTGCGCCACCGGGCCGGCCCCATTCTTAGTAGTTTTTCTAAGCCATATCACATCCCTTCCTACACTTATGCATCTGTTTATTTTATGTGAACTCCTATGCCTTTGAGTGCTAATCTTTCTTTGTTTACTTTATCAGTGTCTGTTCTAGGGTTTATAATATGCATTTTTAAGATAGCACAGATTACCTTCAAATAATTTTATATCACTTTACACATAATGTAAGAACCTAACAAGAGTTTGCCTTTCTTTTTTCCTTCTTGTGCTTTGTTCTATTATTTTCATACATTTTGTTTCTATGTATTTATAAACTCTAAAATATAATTTATTTTTGCTTCAGTCAATTCTCTTTTATTCAACATGTTTTATGAGGAATTGGTCAACAGATACAAAGAATGATTGCATATTGTAATTGTATATTGTAATGAATAAGCTAATTATCCTGATCTAACCATCACACGTTGTACATATTATTGAAAATCAACGTCGTACCCCACATGTATGTATAATAAATTATCTTAAAAAAATTAAATTAAATATTTTAAAAAGTCTCAAACTTATAGAAGTGTTGCAAGTACGGTACAAAGTACTTTTTTTACTGAACAATTTGAGAGTAAGTTGTCGACATGATACCTCATCATCCCTGAATATTAGTGGTGTATTTCCTGTAGATAAAATCCTCAGGCTCAATTCAAGTTTCTTCAGTTGTCCCAATAATGTTCTGGCAAAAAGGTCAAGTCCAGACCACATGTTGCAATTGGCTTTCATGTCTCCTTGATATCCTTCAGTCTGGAACAATTCCTTAGCCTTTAAAAAATTTTTATGACCTTGACATGAAGATTGGGCAAGTTTAATTAGAATATCTCTCACTTTGGGCTTGTTCATGTTATGCATTTTTGTTAGAAAGACCACAGACGTGATTCTGTTTTGTTCTTCTCATTGCATCCTGTCAATGGCACAGGATTTGGATTTGGGTAGATGTTCTCTTCCTGGGTTCCACCTGCCTAGGGCTCCAATATCCTGCAATAAGCCATGCTTCCACAGTTTGCCTTCTATTTCCCACTTGGTCCCTGACATTCCACACTGGGCCATTCCTCCTTGGGAATACCCTCCTCACCCTTCTTGGACTCTAAGACCCTGTTCCAGGCTGTCCCACTGAGTGCACACCCTCCTTTCTATACTCATTCTGATATCCTCCTCTGGGTCACCTGGGTTCCACCTGCACCCCTCACCCTGGCATGGATGCCTACTCTGCTTGGCCCAACCTAATGGTTTTAAGACTGAACTGTATGTGAAGGAGAAGGGAAAAGAGTAGGGGAAGGAGTTCAATGATGTTTTAAAGAAATTTAAAACCCAGAAAAATGTATTTTATATTTTCCCACAAACCAGCCATTTTGGGTGCCCTTTTTGTTTAGGCCTGAGTTTTTATCTGGAGCTATTTTCTTTTAGCACGGAAAACCTCCTTTAACATTTCTTGAGGGCCGGCCCGGTGGCGCACTGGAGAGTGCGCCGCTTGGGAGCACGGCGGCGCTCCCGCTGAGGGTTTGGATTCCATGTGGAGACTGGTTCCCGCTCACTGGCTGAGCACTGTGTGGGCGCAACACCGAGGGTTGTGATCCCGTTGCCAGTCTCCGGTACGGGCGCGACACCAAGGGTTGTGATCCCATTACCGGTCAGTAAAAAAGACAAAAAGGAAAAAAAAAAACATTTCTTGAGACACATTTCTGTTGTTGCGAGTTTTCTCAGCTTTCATTTCTCTAGAAAAGTCTTTATTTTGCCTTCTAGGCTGATGAGTTTTTTTAAAACACATTTTATTCATTCTGTGTTCAAGATGTACTTCTGCTGTCTTCTGGCTTATGTTGTCTTAAATAAATCAGTAGATTAAAATTGTTTCTTCCTTTGTCTCTTTGTATATAATGCATCTTTTTTTTTTTCTTGCAGTTGCTTGTAAGAATTTCCTTTTTATTATTGAATTTTCAGCGATTTGATTATGTTGTGACTTTGTGTACTTTTTTTGTGTTTACTCTTTTTGGAATTTCTTGAACTACTTCGGGCCTGTGCGTTTATATTTTTCAGCAAATTTGGAAAATTTTCAGCCATCATTTCTTCAAATATTTTTTTGTCTCCTCCCTCTTTTTGAGACTTCAATTACACATATATTAGATAACTTAATATTGTCCCACAGGTCATTGAGTTTCTGTTCATTTTTTGTTAGCCTTTTTTTTTTATCTTTCTGTGCTTTGTTTTGAACAGTGTTTACTGCCATTTCTTTAAGTTTGGTAATCTTTTTTTATGCAGTGTCTAATCTTCCATTATGCTCTTCCAGTTAATTTTTTAAATTATAGATATTGTACTCATCTCTAAAAGTTTCATTTGGTTTATTTTTGAAATTGCACTACTACTCCTCTTAAGTTCATTTTTCTTTTAAATCCTTGAACATGTTTGTAATAGCTCTTTAAAAGACTGTGTGTACTAGTTCTATTATCCCTGTGATTTTTCTGTGTGTTTCTATTTTTGATTTTCCTCTTGGTTATGTGTCACACTTACCTGCTTCTTTACAGTTCTAGTAATTTTTATTATATGCTGGGCATTTTATAAGTTACATTGTTGAGTGTCTAGGTGTTGTTGTCTTTCTTTAAAGATGTTGAATTTTGTTCTGGCCATCAGTTAATTTACTTGAAGATAAGCTTAATCTTTCTCAGCTTATATTTAAGTTTTTTAAGGAAAAATCTAGAGTAACTTTTACACTATGGCTAGTTTATCCCTATTCCTATGATGTGACCTTTCTGGGTCTTTATTGAATGCCCCAAGTGTTCAATGACATGTCTCCAGTCTGGTTGTCTCAACTTGTAAATTTCCCAATCCTGTATGAATTCTAGTAGTGGTTCAGCTTGTGGATTCCTGGTAGATGTTTTGTTCCTGGTAATTATTTTTTGTCTGGCCTTCTAGAATCTCACTCTGCACACACAGAGCGTAGAATACAGTTAAGGACTCAAGAGGATTCATAGCAGATTTCTCAAGCTCTTATTCTGTATAGCTCCCACTTTTTTGCCCATTAATTTCAGCAGCTTCAACAACCTTGAATTCCAATATCTATCTTAGCATGGTGAGGTTATCTGGCATCCCTTCTCTCACAAGTAGCTAATAGAGTACCTCCGGGTGGAAAGCATGGGCTATCACAGGGCTCATCTCATTTATTTCCCTTCTTTCAGAGATTATAATGTGGTGCTGCCTGTTGTCCAATATCTACAAGCAGTCGTTTCCTATATTTTGTTCATTTTCTAGTATTTAGATGGGAAAGACAGTCTGGTACCAGTTACCTTGTCATGCTTGGAAGCAGAAGACTGTTGATGGTTTCTGAACCTGCATGGTAGCCAACTTCAGGCAAAACAGAAAAATAGGCTGTTTTTCTATGGGTCTCTTCTTCTTCCCATTTCTTACAGAGTCTGTTTAAACTCTTGTTATGAACCGAACTTTTGTGTTATGGTCTGAATGTTTTTCCCCTCCAAAGCTGATATGAAACTTAATCTCCAATATGGTATTTGAAAGGTGGCTGGGTCATGAGAACTATGCTCTTATAAGTAGATCAATCCATTCATGGATTAATGGGTTATCACATGTTTAGACTTGTGGCTTTATAAGGAGAGCAGGTGAGCATGTTAGCCCAGTGTTCTTGCCGTTCTTGCCATGTGATTGCCTGCATTGCCATGGGATTCTGTAGAGAGTTCCCATCAAGAAGGCCATCACTAGATGTGGACCTTGGACTTTGGACTTCCCAGCCTCCAAAACCATAGGAAATAAATTTTATATCTTTATAAATTACCCACTTTCAGGTATTCTATTATCAGCAACAGTAAATGGACTAATACAGTTTGTGTCCCCTCAAAATTCATATGTTGAAGCCCTGATCCCCAGTGTGACTGTATTTGGAGATAAGGCCTGTGAGGAGGTGGTAAAGGTTAAGTGAGATCATACGGGTGGGGCCCTAATCCAGTAAGATCGGTGCTCTTTTAAGAAGAGGAAGAGACAACAGAGCTCGCTCTCTCTGCCTTGTGAGGACACAGAAAGAAGGTGGTTATGTGCAAGCCAGGAAGGGAGCCCTCACCAGGAGCTGAATCATCCAGTATCTTTATTTGGACTTGCCAGCCTCCAGGACTGTGAGAAAGAAGTGTCTATTATTTAAACCACCCAGTGTATGGTATTTTATTGTGGCAGCCTGAGCAGACTAATTCAATTCTTCTTCATTTTTATCATGCTAAATCCCCTACTTCATTGCCCTTCACCTTCATGTTTTATTCTTCTTTACAGAGTAAATATATGTCATTAGGTGGGCACTCCTTCATCTTAAGTTCTTGATCCCTTTCCTCAGTCCTTTGTTCCTGATCTCCCTGCCCTCTTTTCAAATGTGCCTTCATCCATACCTATCTTCACTTCCT